AATCAATCCACTGATGGCAGTGACGTCAGTTTTAGCGCCGGCCACCCTTTACACGAAGGAAGATTCCTGGTACTCATTTCTGCTAGAGGCTGAGTCATCCACAGGGCCAAAGTGAGGAGGGAGGATTAGGTCAATTGAAAAAATCCAATAATTTCATATAAGGATATGGCATCAAAGAACTCCTTCCTGCACTGAAGAGATGATGATAACCAACTTTCATCCACTAATATTTAAGCACAAGAGAAAAACATACAGATTAATGCATATGAGCAAATAAATTATGTGTTCTTTTTATCACAACATTTAAGCACAGAGATCAGAAGAAATTCAGATCTATTTCTGTAACCAAAAACAAGAAAGCTGTACTTCTGCATTACCATAGCAGCCTGGATTATCACACTTGCAGTAAATTACACAATATCTTTGGATGTTCTTTATAGGTTCTGCAACAGAAAACGGGGGGGGGGGACCACAGACGACCAGGAAAATTACAGTTTTACATACATTAAATATAGGCATTCAAGAAAGAGTCCACATTTTCTATTTAGGGCCAATATTCAAATCAGTATGAAGAGATGTGAACTGTAGATACAGCACAGTTTACACACACAGACAAATGAATGGACAGAGTAAAGTTTATAGGTGCTAATGTATTGCAAAATGCACGAAATACATATGGAAATAATTACTGTCCAGTTCTACTGATCTTCATGTGTGCCACAAACAGGGTTATTTTCAACTAGTACCTGCTGGAACACACATAGGCAACTCGATGTGTACAAGCAAACTTGTCAAAAGTCACGTCAGTGCATTGTATGCTTAAACCTTGAGGCTAAGACAGAGAATAAGACCACTGGCAAACACATTTTTTGATATGAAGGCTTCTGAAACATATAATTGTTTCCATTTATTTTGATAATTCCGATTAAGATATGTACTCAACAGGCAAACTTGCTTACTTCCTTTATGTTACGCTTTATCAAGCATAAACAAAATGAGAGGCAGCCAGTGAAGCATAAAAGCTGAGCAAATATCTGACTTCATACATGTTGCAAAGGAAAAAGAAGGGGGGGGGTGATTAAATATATTCCAGTTTGTAATATTCTTGTGGATACTGTTTTTAGAAACTGGTAGGTCTCCAGGCGGTTAAATGATACTGTATCAACTGAAATTATTATTTTTACAGCAGACAAAATGAGAGCAGAAGAAATATAAAGATAAAAAAAGTGAGAAACTTCCTTGTTTTCAATACCAGCATTAACAATGTCAGTAAGCAATGGAGGAAGAAAACTGAAAAATATATTATTAAGTTTAATGTAAAATTGTATATTAAACTAAAATAATGAGATCATTTGTGACCAAAACAGAGGAAATAAAAAGAGGCTGGAGAAAACTGCATAATCAGGAACTTCACACTTTGTACTCTGCATGAAATACTATTAAGATGGTCAAATAAAGTAGCATGAAACATGGAATATATAAGATCAGAAATATGTATACAATTCTGATCATAAAATTTTACGGGGAAAGGCCTCTTGGAAATCCTCAGCACACAGATTGAAAAACAGTATTAACATCAATCTTACAAAAACAGGGTGGGAGGGTATGGAGTGGATTCATCTGGCTGAGGATAAGGTTCAATACTAGGTTCTTGAGATCATGGTAATTGGGCTCTGAATTTTGTAATGGGTGGAGAAATTTATGGGTACCATGGGTCTAATAAAGATGAACTGCCTATTCTTTGCAATCAGGGAACCATGGTGAAATCAGAATGAAACTGTTTACTTATCACAGCATGGAACTACTACCTCCAGTTTAAGTTTGTTATATAAAGACATTGTCAGTATCAAGACTATACAGCATGATGACAAGATGATTAATAAATACAGAGAAGTTTGTGGAATGATAATTGGCAAGGGAAATTTAAGTACGTGAAGAAGACCTACCCCAGTGCCACTTTGTCAATTACAAATCCCACATGACCTGGGACTGAACCTGGGCCCAAAGGGCCAGTGACCAACTGTCTGAATGATGGCATGACAAAATTACTACCTTCAAATTTTAGCAATGAAAAGAAAACCAATGGCTTCTGAAGAGACAAAATATGTGGTAGCAAAAATAGCAATGAAGACAAATAACAGAACAAGTAAATTATTTTGGGTATCAGATATCATATAAAGACTGTTCATTAAATACCATTAGAGGACATGTCACACTAATACTCCCAGTGATACAAAACTCATCTGATTCCAATTATTGCGTTTCTAGACATATCCATTTTTATTTAAAACACACGTTTCAGAGACTGGATTCTGTCTCCAGCTTCAGGTGGAACCTACCCAGATGGGTCCAATCAATAGAACCACTGTCACACGCCATCTGAGAAGAGATCACAGCTCAGTGTTTGCAGCCACTGGTACACCTTGGCTCTCATCTCGTCATCATATCAGAAATGTTTTCTTGCAAGTGCTTCTCCAGTAACTGACAGAGGTAGAAACTCTTAGGCACAGTGTCTGAGCTGAATAGTGGATGGGGAAGACAGTCCCAGCAGTCTGTGTGGAAGCTGCTGAAGGCATTCTGGGACACACAGCAGTCACCTTCTTCAGTGCTTGGGTCACAGGACAACAGCAAAAGAATACACATCTAAGGTGCACTGGAAGGTGAAAATGCAGAGCCCTGATTTCTTCTCCAATGGAACTAAACAGGTTATGTAATGCTGTGACAAATGCTCTGGTGATTCTTTGGAGAACAGGGGGTTAGTCCATTGTTGCTTAATCTGTCAGAGTGTATACTGAAGTAATATACAAGCGTGTAATACACCCTTAGATGTTACTTATTAAACATATCATGGATTCTTTGAACACAGAGTAACAAAGAGAGAGGTCACTTCAGTCCATCTTCAAAACTTCCAAATGTATTTCAATTGAATCCAGTATTGAGGTCTACTCTGAAAGTTGTCAGCCAAGTTTAATTTTGGTGAAATCTCTCCAACATAATTTCTAACTTTACACAGACCCTATGAAACTTTACTAATTTTTATATATGGGTTTTGCATCCTGTTGTGTATCTCACTGCTATGTATACCATTCCATCTATCTGTGGGTCCATTCCCAACACACTGTGGGGTAACACCAGCGGCCTCCGTAGTCTAGGGGTAACGTTCCAACCTCATGACTCAAGGTACGCAGATTCAAACCCAGCGGAGGTCGTGGAATTTTTAAGGGCGGAAAAATTCATGGAACAAGTCCTCCGGGAGGGACTTTAAGCCATGGGTCCCGTGTCGTAGATTTATGGCACGTAAAAGAACCTCATGTCTCTAGGAGACCTCTCAGCAAAATTAGGCAAGTTTCCCGCCCAAGTAGTTTCCAATTCCTCCGGTAGATGGGGGAAGTATTAGGTACCACTGCCAGAGGAGGGGGGACCCCTCTGACAGAAAGGGACTAACTATTAGATACCACTGCCAGTAGGAGGTTGGAACCTTGCTGGCAGAAAGGGGCTGATAGTAAGCACCAGTACCGGTAGGGTATGGAGACAGTAGAAATTAAAGGGGAACACACAATGGACCAATAACCGGTCTAAGTGCATGGGGAAACCCACCCCATCAATACGGAATATGGCAATGGGGTAACACCGCATTTACAGCAACAGAAGCTACACCACCAACAAAATACCAGGAACAGCAACTTCAGTTCAAAAAGAACTCACAATGTAACACTCCCAAACAGAATAATCAACAAGAGTTATTAAACACATAGGTGTAAACAGCAACTTCAATCCAAGAAACCCATGGAATAACACTTCAACACCGGACAAGAAAATAGGCAATGGCTGATAAACACAGGCCACCAAATCACAAAGCAGCACAAAGCCAGCAGTATAGAATACATCTGGAATTTACAGTATACTGCCTCCCACAATATACACATATACCGCATACACAGCGCCCATGTCCCACAAATTACGGACCCTATATGATTCATGAAAAGAGTGAAGATGTAATAATTCAATTGGCACTGCCCATCCCACCCCATTCTCCTGACCACCTTCCACTAAAAATTCAATACAACGTAAACTAAAGATTAAGTTTTAACTTCCAATTTAAGATTATACTACAATAATAATAAACACAGACTTACCTACACTATTTAATATAATTTATGATATCATATCTGGAGGAGCCAGGATAGTGTAGTCGGTATAGCAAATGGCTCTGGGCTGGATGACCAATGGGTCAGAATTTGAGTCCCAGTAGGGTCAAGAATTTTCTCTTCTCTATATCATCCAGATAGGCCCTGGGTCCCACCCAGCCCCTTATTCAATGGGCACCAGGGCTCTTTCTCCAGGGGTACAATGGCAGGGGTGTGAAGTCGACCACTCACCTCAAACTAGTGCCGAGGTTCTACACCTATACATCAACTACCCCATATGCCTTCATGGAGTAGCACTTAATTAGTTAAGCACAGGGACAACTTTACCTTTACCTTACTATATCATATCTTGAGGAATGGATTGTATAACATGGGACTAGTAAAAAAGGATCCATTGTAATAAACTGTCCAATGACTTATGCTGGCAACATTTTTAAATACCTGATGATGACCACATATGGTCAAAACATGTAGCAAGTATGTTTAGTGAATAAATACTGATTTCATCGATAATATTCATCTTCAGTCATTTTATTCATGGTTGAGTTGTGATGGACTGATACACAAGCAACTTTACAAATATTCTAAAGAATGGCCGATCATACAAAAATTGTTACATGACATACAACAACATCATCATTATTTATACCTTTTATTTGAAACATATTTTTAAGTTGTGTCTACTTAACAAACTACAATGAAAAATGTTTGATTTAAGGTTCTGGTGTTTCAGAGGAACATGTCACCTCCATCTTCAGGGTTGAAGAGTAAGCCAAGAAGAAATCAGCATGCATCAGGCAGTAAGCAGAGCTTTGCTTGCTTCCTTAGAATGAAGCAATATGTTTCTACAAAATATCAATTAACTTTCACTGGACTACACAGCATTATATCCCAGAAAACAGAACTCCATAGAGAAAAAATATCTAATTCTGTTTAGCATTATACATGTAGCATGAATAGTTTTGCAACAGCAGATTTTTATTAGTACACTAATTATTTGTACGTGCAATTACTGGACACCATAACCATAAAAGTAGACAAAATCTGAAACAACACATTTAGAAAATGTGTGCATTCTGAACATTCACAGTCTTCCTGTGACTTCTAGGCAGATGGTATTTTATTGCGCGGCCTGGTCTTCAGAAGATGTTCTTCAAATGATCTGTTGCTAACTATTATTTCTGATTTCTATACTTGAATTTATCCATTGTGACTGGGAACTGATAACTGGTTCTGTAATTAAGGATACTAAATTTCTAACATATTTTCCATACTTGCTACGTTCTTACATTCTCTGTACTTAAGGTTTTTAACAACTCTTACATCTTATTGAAACAATAATTATCCTTGATGAACTCATAAATTTGTAAATCCTTTGAGTCTACAATTAATTTTTTATGTGTTTACTGAGGATTGCTTGCAAACTTCTTAGTTGTACTTGAGTATGGCAACATTTTACAATAGTTTAAGCATTCAGCGTAATTATTCAACTGATTTATAAGTTGGTCATTAATGTCACAGTTTCTGTATTCTTTATCTTTCATTATCTATAACACAAGACTTGAAACTGATAATTAATTCCACATTTATTGCAATTATATTATGTAAGTGAACTACTTACAGAGCCAAATCATGAAGACCTACTTAATTACTATCACAGAATGTCATAGTCTAATGGTTAAGACTCCTGCTTCAAGTTCTGGAGGTAGGAAGGTTGAAACTCCACCCAGAGATCAACTATCCTGATAGGATTTTTATAGTTTTACCTAGTCCCTCCAGACAAATGCAGGGATACATCAAATTAGGCCATGACTATTTCCTTTTATATCCTTTCAAATCCATTAATTTTCCATTCACTCTATAATTTGACATTATACCATTTGACTTAGCCACTGACAGAAGTGATAAATAAATTTCTTACTTTATTTTCTCCTATTATGTGGTTAGTAAATTAATTTGTACAATCAACCCACTGGTACAACTACAGGAAAATATATTAGGGCTGGGATTATTTCTGTAAAACTCAACACCTGATGAAAAAAATAATTTACTGACACTAAGATGCACCACGGATACTAGCATTGCAGAAATGCATCACACAGGCCTTCTAAGACATGACCAAACACTCAACACAGTCACTACTGATGGGAAAGGCCTAAAACTGTATATCAAAGAAACAGAACAGTTTGCTTAGCTGGTCTTTCACCCATTCAAGTGTTACACTGAACTGTTCCTCAAGTTGCTGCCAGAATGTCAAAACAAGTGCAAGAACACTTTGTGTAATGTGTTAATAACAAGTATGTAAAATGTCTTTTAAGGTCTCATAAGCCTTAATATAAAATATATTATAGTCTGAAGGATTATGGTACCAACACTTTTAGACACGTTCATTACCTTTCATGGGGGAGGGGGGATAAGTTGGGTTTGATTCCTGTCAAGGGCACAGACTTTCCCCTTCATCACTGCATGGAGACCACCCCTCAATCCCACCCAAAAGTATCAAATGGGTACTGGAAGCTCTTTCCTCAGGGGTAGAAATGAGGATGCTTAATTAGGTGCCGGGATGTCTGCATGTCATAGAGCTTAATCATGCACAGGTACGACTTTGCTGCTTAACACAAAATAGTGAAGCATACAATAATATTAAATTGTAGTGATAAGTTTCAATAAACATGTTTGAATAGCTTGAAACCATACACAAAACCTAATTTAAAGAAGTTAATTAAATGTTTGTGGGAAATGGACTGGCTAGATTTATTTACATTAAAGTTAGTAACTCTAAATAAGACCTGAATTCGTATAAACTGTATAGTACAGTTGTCCTCAAGACTTTATAACATAACGGCATGCTTAAAGGAGAAGAAACCTCTCAAGAAATAGTGCTACTTACCCAGTCTGTGCCAGAAGAATGTGGTTTACACTTAGTTTGAACTTTCTCTCCAAGCCTTGATTGTACAATTATCTGAGCAGCTTTCAGCGCCAGAAATTTGGTGAATTTATCCAAGTCCTTCTTGTCCTGAATACTAAGTTTGACAGTAGCCATTCTGAGAATCTGCATTCATTTAATCTGCTATACACACGATATTTCGGAATCCCATCTTTAAGCTTTACCTCAAGTGCAACCTAGAACAAAATTCTTACGCTGTCACTCCCATTCCAAACTCCACAGTCACTTCGTGGCGCCACGAAGACAACGCCTATATGGTATTATCTTGATAAATGATCACGTGTTTGTTACAAGCACCGGCTCTCTGTAGCGTACAGATGATAATCGAACTAATGTCGACGTCAGTGAAATGATAAGATTTGACAACACGTTTCACACAACTCAAGATTTTACTGGTACAAGTAACCACTCCCACTACCGCCCACTACTCTCCCTTCAAGCCGGGAATAGTGACCATCCTCCAGCGTAATGCGAAAGCTGTCACTTACCTCGGTATACATTCCATAATCACCGGCATAATCACAAACAATACGGGTAACACCCCCTTTAACAAACAAATATAAACCCCAACGTAATCATCCTTTCCTCTTTTTTTCTCGTCGACGTGTTATGGAATACGACCTTCATTTGTTCCGGAAGTGAAGGCCGTTCGAGAAATACGAGGAAGCGAATATGCACAGACGAAAAAAACAAAGAAGTTGAAGTACGGAAGACATTCTACGCCGCTGCAATTTCACTTTCTCAAAGGCCAAGAATATCTTTCACTTCAATTAAAAAAATTCATGACAGTATGCCAACTACTATTTTGCTTCGAATATTATTGTGTTTCGTATTATAAACACACAAAATTTACACTGTTCAAAAAATATGCTAATACTTAATATAAAACCTGCGAAACTGTCAATAAATAAAAAAGTTGCGGAATGGGCTTGTTCCACATCCTGTTAAGCAGGTTATACCTATTTTTTTTTTAATTCTCATAGTGGGGGGTGGAGTCCAGTTGGGTCCACTCGGCACGGCGGCCACTGATTGGCCTATTGTACCTGCCCCGGGTGATTATGATGATGCAGAATTTGGTGGAATGAAGATTGGCAAGGGAAACCGAAGTACTCGGAGAAAACCTACCCCAGCGCCACACTGTCCACCACACATACCACTTGACCAGACCCGGGATCNCCCAACCTCTTACCCCATGACTGCCGAGGGCACTTTTCTCTGAGGTAAGATAGCCGGAGAGTGAAACTCCATCGTTCACATCGTCCATGGCACATATTATCCTGTTCATCATAGCAGGAATATAGATAGAATAAACTACGGTATCTGCTACGAGAAAACAGTCATGTCACATTAATATTCAAACAATTAAGCCACAAGCATATAATACAAAATTCGCCTAATATTATTTAAAACATTGTCCATGTATTATTATACATTGTTAGAATTCAATAATTTTATTAGGCTTATTAGCAACGCGCTGATGAGAATAGGGACAAATTGAATCGAGTTGTCGAAGTCGAACTCGAAATTGAATGTTGGCAGCAGGGCATTTAGTGAAGTGAGTTGCGGGTAGATGGCACGGAATTTAGTGAACCGTGGTGGCGGGCATGACGGGTAGACGTCGGGACCGTCGGGACCGTCGGGACTTGAGGTGGTGTCTGTTTTGGTATCTGGTAGGTGCATTGTGCCGTATTGTGCAGTAGTATCACGTATTGGTGTGTATTTGATTTGTAGCCATTAAGGAAGCAATGTGTTTATCTAGTTTATGTGTTGTTTACAGATGATATGTAGTAAGTATTCTTATTGAATAAAGGTTAAATTAATTGAAATGAAATGACGTTGGAGCATGTTGTCTTTGGTTTTTTTTTGGCTTTTGTAGAATTTTTACCATTTAATGAGAGCTCCGTGAATTCTCACTTCGACATCATGTTGTGAACTTGTTTGTTAACAGATTTACTGAATTCACATTTATTCTGTGTTGATTCTCAGTTTCTTCATTGGAGTCCCCATGGACATATAAAATTAAAAGTACACTGTTTCATGAAGTGTCTTTTTATATTGCAGTGATGAAGTTTTGAACGGAGGACTTAAGATTGTAAGACGCCTGCTGTTGTTTATGAGCTACCGATGCCTGTTTTAGCTGAACCGATATATAGTACTTTACAGAACTTCTTTACATATATCACTGTGAATGACTGAATTGTAAGAACATGCATAATTAAGAGTTACTGTTAAATTGAAGAAAGCAGTCTTCTGGGATTTGGCGCCATGTAGATATTGTGTTAACCGACGTTTCGGAGGAATGTATCGTCTCCATCTTCAGGGTAGGCCCTGATCTAGTATCAGAACTCTCATGCTAAACCAATTTATCATTGATTAAATTAAATACAACTGGAGAACATGACTTGTATGTAGGGTACAAGTACAAGGGAGCAACTAGGATAATGTTTCATTGTTTTTGCTGAATTTCAAATGTTTACCTCCTTCCGTTATAATCCCTTTGAAGTTAAACTGTGTGAAGAACACACTCTTTTATCATGCAGACCTTGTGAATTGCTATGATTTTCCTAATTCCGGGACACGGTGCATCGAAAGCTGTGTAGTATTTATGATACTAAACTATGAATATTTGAATCTAAAGGAGAGTNACAGAGAGGGTTCATCAGACCCTGGTATTGACCTCACAGGTTTCTTGGTAATATAGATGAATCTGGACACTTGGAAAATGATGTGTTAGATAATAAATCAAAGAGACGTCTTGCATCGCTCAGCAGACTTGGCTTGAGTTCCATTCTAAAAGAGGTGATAGATGTGGAACGAGCGAAAGTGAAGAGCGAGAGTAACTCGGAGGAGGACAAAGAGCAGGAGTCATGCCCACAGCAAGAAACGTCTGAACCCAACAGAGATGCAAGTAATTATATGCTAAATATAGTGAAAGTGCAGAGTGTTTTGTTCACACATACAGAGGTTTCGTAGTTGTATGCTGCATGAAATACTGAGCAGATTAGAGTTGTGTTGAATATTCTCACCCACTGTTCTTTCACAATCTGTCATCAGAGTGGACTCAGCACCACATTTTGTTCTACTGGACCTAGTGTTGTGTAGCCTTACCACTCAGTTCAATTATATTTTCACTTATGTTTGACCGCCTCTGTGGTCTAGTGATCAGAGTTCCTTGCTACATATCCAGAGGTCCTGGGTTAGATTCCCGGCGTTACCACATTTTCTGAGAAGTAGTGGGTCTGGAACGGGGTCCACTCAGCCCCATGAGGATAATTGAGGAGCAATTTGAAGGAAATGGCAGCTCCAGTCTAGAAAACCAAGATTAACGTCTGTGGGGATTGGTTGAGCTGATCACGCGACACCCTCTATCCACTAAAGTTGGCACTGATTTCGCTGACAAGAGGTGGTCGCTCAGTTGGTATAGTTCGCTTGCGGACTACAGAAGAATTTATGGTTAAAAGTGCATAAATGCAGTACATAATCACTCATTTTAGAAACAGCAAAAGAGTGATCCATTTGTTATCTTTTTTTAGATATTACACGCCACGATCCTCTGAGTCTTCATTGCGACTTAAGGTGGGTGGCGGCAACCTGATTCAGCACTTGACCCCTGTGGTAGAGCTCCGTGCGCCTTTCATCCAGTAAGACTTCATAACTCCCATCGTTCACCCATGAAGAGGTTCTCCGATGGTATTCTTGCACATCCTGGACCTCATCCAGTGCTTCTGCTTCTCAAACATATCAAGAAAAAGGCAAAGGTATGTGGTGTAAAAACAAACTCCGTGATTTCAGTATGCAAGCGAACTATACTGACCGAGCGACCACTGCTTGTCGGCGAAGTTAGTGCCAACTTTAGCGGATAGAGGGTGTCACGTGGTCAGCGCAATGAATCTCCACAGCCGTTAATTTCGATTTTCTAGACCGGAGCCGCTATTTCCTTCAAATAGCTCCTCAATTATCATCACAAGGCTGAGTGGACCCTGTTCCAGACCCACTACTTCTCAGAAAAAATCTGGAAGCGGCAGGAATCGAACCCGGATCTGTAGCCAGGAACTCTGACCAGTAGACCACAGAGGCGGTTTATATTATATGTGTGGTGTACATATTAGGTATATCCAAATTATGTAATAAATTAAAACAACTTGTAGGCATTAAAGGTGACAAATAGTGCTTCTGCTTGTACGTTACATTTAATGTGGAACTGAACAAAGCTGTTATTTGTTTACCAGTGTTTATTTTCCAACTGTATCGCTAGTTTCACTTGTAATAAAACACTCCTTAAGAAATGGAAGTGTCACTGTTGGAGTGTGCTCATATGGTAACTGTGTTCAGAGGTCTGTAAAGATCGCAGAATGAAAATTCATAGCAGATCCAGATAAAGCCTGGCAGTTTTCTGAAAATATTCAATCACTCATCCAAAAATGGAGTTCCTCTCTGATTGGTTTAGATCTGTATCAGTATGTATGATGACAGCAGGAACCTAAATAGCATTACAGCCTCTATGCATATACAGTAAGTCATAGTATGTTCTTGTACAGCCATGAAGAAAATTATAAGTGGTTAATTATTTAATTTTAATTTATTTTGGTGGGGTGAGACTTAGTCCACTTGGTATGTCAGCCACTATTTGGCCTATTGTACTGGTCCCAGATGATAGGATGATTAATGAATGTAGGGCAATTGGTGGAATGAGAAGTGGCAGGGGAAACCGAAGTACTCGGAGGAAACCTGCCCCAGTGCCGCTTTGTCCACCACAGATCCCACATGACCTCACACGTGATGGAACTCGGACTACCACGGTGGGAAGCTGACAACTAACCGCCTAAGCAATGGCACGGCCCTGTAAAATGTGTAGCTGGCTGGAGATACATTTTCTGAAAGCACCGATATCAAATCCTACTGACTTACTGACTTTCCTAATCCATGCATGGGTGTAGTTGTATTTTAAATCATTCATGAAAACTTGGCGACTCCCTAGGGAGTTGTGCCCTGCAGTTTGAGAAATCATGTGATGTGTGAATATTAATAAATTGGCAGTTTGCTTGCCTGGTTAGACCTGAATATTAATAATCTGTATTTATTTCTTAAGCAACGAGCAGCATCAGGGTGTGGTGATGTCTTCTTCATGAGGACTGCTGAAGATCTTACAGGACAGGATGGAGATTTGGTTCTGATTGAGTTCTGTGAAGAACATCCACCGCTTATAAATCAAGTGAACTTTCATTGGTTAGTCAGTTTTCAATCTGTGACTGGAATTATGATCAGAATGTTTCATAAGTGTCCCTTTATCTATATCAGCAGGAAGATTTGCATTTTCTTTGTCAGTAGGCTTGTACAAGAAGAACTTTTCAGGATGGAAATTTGGATAAAAAACTGAGATTGAGTTAGTCCCAGTGACCATCTTCCTTGTATTCTGCATATATAATCAAACTGATACCTCATCCTACATAATTTAATCCCGAAGATCGAGGCACTATGTTCCTCCGACATATTGGTATCTGCCTACAAGTTTGTAAAGTGTCATAACCCATAAGATGACAATCTGAGTCTATTAATAAAGTCTGTTTCTACCTTTTAAGTTATGTTTTGTCTTCTTTTCTAGGTTGGAATGTGCTGCAAAATAAAGAACTATTATAAGAGACAGGCCGGCAAGAATCAGGGACCACAAGAGTACCAATATGGACAAGTGGCATATGCGCACACCTCTCCTTTTCTGGGTCACTTGTCGCCTGGGCAGTCATTGCAAGCAGTAGAGAACATGTATCGAGCCCCCATATATGAGCATAATGTTCCGGATACTGACTTCCTGGTCATCAGGACGAAGTTTGGAAGTGAGATTGTCTTTCCATGTTATTGTTTATTTGCTTATAGAAATAAAAACCAAGAAATAAAAAGAACTAAAATATTGGAGGGATTTAGAGATTTGCCTCAAAGGACAAATTTATTAAATGATACAGTACTATGGTATAGGCACATTTTAAGAATTGCACAGAACCAGAATTCTAAAAAAGATTTTGAAGTGAAGCTAAAAAGAAATCTCTCAAGAGGAAGATGATGGGGGGAATTTGGGGAGAGTGAGGAGCTTGGGGAAGGTGGGAGTAGATGGAGAGATTAGGTTGCTATCTGGCCCATATAAAAACATAAACATTGAAGGAAGAAAATTTATTTTTTGTTTATTTAACAGCGCTGTCAGTAGTAGACTGTACAGCATTGAATGGTAGGATAGGTAGTGAATAATGAATTGGAATGGACATGAAAGGAAGTGGAGGTGGCATAATGTAAGACACTATCCTGGTATTTGCCTGGAAGGACTGAGGAAAGCCATGAAAACCTGTCTCTGGGCCATGGTTTGACTTCTGAAATATAATGCAGGAATGCAACCCATTCAACTGTTAGGTTTTCTTTCTCATTTTATATTGCCTTACTTCAAGGAAACTCTCACAGTGATCTAGTCGTAATATGCTTGCCATTGGACCCAAGGTTTGTGGGTTCAAACCATGCCAATGGCGATAAAAATTAGTAATACAACTTCCTTCAGAATGGAACTAAAGTCAGGGGTTGGTATTTACAGCATGTAAAAGAACTTTTTACTCATAAGAGATGAGTGAGGGAAAAATCAAACACCTGTTTTGGTTGCCCACAAAATCTGCTGCTGTGGTCCCTCAACTGCGGAGACCTCTAGCGGACAAGCATTGGAAGAACAGAGAATGACGGTGTTCGAGAGCAGGGTGCTGAAGAGAATATTTGGACCTGAGAGGAATAAAGTGATAGGAGGATGGAGAAAATTTCATAATGAGGAGCTTCAAAATTTGTAATGCTTATTATTAGAATGATCAAATGATAACATGGACATGGCATGTAGCATACATGGGAGAAGACAAATGCATACACAGTTTTGGTAGGAAAACCTAAGCATAGATAAGAGGATAATATTAAAGTGATCTTCAAGACATTGGGTGGGAGGGTGCAGACTGGATTCATCCAGTTCAAGATAGGGACCAGTAATGGACCCTTATGAACACAGTAATAAAACAAAATGCTGAAATTTTCTTGACTAGCGGAGCAACTGTTAGGTTTCTAAGAAAGACTCGGCACATGGAGTTATTTAGTTAGTGGGTAGATGTGGTTTCTCTTGTGGAGAAATGTCTGGCAAATAGAATTTCTGTTTAACTGGTAAACTGAGCCGATATTTGCTGGCCCATGCCGATGACCATCCCGATCCTGTGACTTTCGTCTTCAGTTTATTTTCATCTGAATCCAACCACCTGATAACAAGTCTGCGTACTTGTCAAGTACCCTCTAGTTTATTTAGAGTCAATATCCTGCTACTGACAGCACCATCAAATAACTCACAAAGAAAATATAAGATTAACATAGAAGTTGCTGCATGAAGCAAGGGATTTCTCATGTGCCACATATAAAAGTCATTAGCAGGTAGAATGGGTTTCAAAAGGTGGACAACAGATTAACCATAAAAGGCATTGAAAATATGACTTACCCTATGAATGTAGTACTTACATTCAACATCAAGAACACACCCTAGGTTATGATTCTGAGATAGTTCCATCCATCATCCCTACAACCCCATCTTCTCTCAAGCAGTTGATTTCCATAAAGTGTCTCCACAGAACTGTTGCAGAAGTTTGACAGAACATTTTTATATGAAGGGTTGTTTGCCCTCTGTTCATTTCCTAAGCAGCAGCTTCCCTCCATCCACAACCTGAAGATGGAAGAAACGGGTTCCAGATATGGAGAAAGGGGGCAGTTAATTATATTCAACAGCCAACAGGTGATAATGCATGGTGAGATGTACATATAAGCAGTAGTGAAGTGCATGTATTTCCAATAGTCTGTCCTACCCAAATGTTGCCACCCACTACCTAAGGCAGGGTTCCTTCTTTTCTCTGCCATAGATGTTCTTTAGTTTATGATGCTGTCAGTATCTGAGCCTGTGTGCCATCAAATGACAGGTAAAAGGTAAAGCTGTCCCTGTGCTTAACTAATTAAGCACTATGCCATGAAGGCGTATGGGGGAGTGGATGTATAGATCCACGTTTTCTCGACCTTGGCACTAGGTGGAGGTGAGTGGTCAGCATCATGCCCCTGCCACTATACCCCCGATACCCACTGGATAAGAGGCTTGGTGGGCCCCAGAGCCAGTCTGGACGACATGGAGAAGAGAAGATTATTGACCCTACTGGGACTCAAACTCTGACCCTCAGTCTTCCAACCTGTAGCCAGTCGCTATACCAACTGCACTATCCCGACTCCTATCAAATGGTAGGATGAATGTTAAATAATATATTGGGAAAGATCTGGAAATAGTCATGGCATAATCAAGATACTATCCATGAGGACAGTAGGAGAGGGCTGATGAAAACCATGAAACACCATTGTCCTGGCCAAGATTTGAACCGAGTACCTCCAAAATACAAGTCTACTGCAATACCACTAGACCAACCCACTTGGAATGCATGCCTCACTTATGTATCAGGAATCATCGGGCAAGACGTCTTGTTACTGTCAAGGTAATGGTAAGCAGTGGCATAGTGATGTTCAAATCATCAGGCAAGATGTCTTGTTACTGTCAAGGTAATGCGTAAGCAGTGGCATACTGATGTTCAAATCATCAGGCAAGATGTCTTGTTACTGTCAAGGTAATGCGTAAGCAGTGGCATACTGATGTTCAAATCATCAGGCAAGATGTCTTGTTACTGTCAAGGTAATGCGTAAGCAGTGGCATACTGATGTTCAAATCATCAGGCAAGATGTCTTGTTACTGTCAAGGTAATGCGTAAGCAGTGGCATACTGATGTTCAAATCATCAGGCAAGATGTCTTGTTACTGTCACGGTAATGCGTAAGCAGTGGCATACTGATGTTCAAATCATCAAGCAAGATGTCTTGTTACTGTCAAGATAATGCGTGAGCAGTGGCATACTGATGTTCAAATCATCAGGCACCAAATGGACAAGGTTTCACTGTGTGGCTTTTATACGAGAGAACAGTACCTGACAGGCCCACCAGTTGTTAGGAATTGAGAGTTTAAGTTGGCAGGAAATTTAACTCAAGTATCCAATTGCATTTGTTACTTACACATCAGAGCGAGTGTATGGATGTGGATCCGAACTATGATCCATTGGACTTCCTGCTCCATCATGGGCTTCCTCAGCAATGTGCTGCACAACTGTCAGGTCAGGTGTCTGTTCACGACAAAATACATGATGACCTTGAAGTGAGCGAGTCTGATGATGAGTACAGCTACTGCAAGTGTGAAGGAGTCCACAAAGCGAGAGGCAGATGAGGATGATGATGGTGGAGACCTCTGGTTCTAAGGCTGTCTTACTCTTTGTTATATTTTATTTTCTCTTTGTCTTGTACATAACATTTTTATAATTATATTTGGAATAAATAGTATAATAAACATACTAGCAATTAATCACAATTAATTCAAAGAGGAGCTTGAATTTTAAAGTACATCAGGTTACACAGAAGACAGTTTTGCTGTGAAATGACCTTCCAAGCAGACAGGGCAGGGCCAAGTACTTGCTGCTACACGCTACGAGTCATGTGGGCAGATACAGCAATGAGTGCTCAATCATATCTTCTTTATCTTGACACATCCTTTCAGTTTATCAGGTTTCCTTTCTTAAAAACTATGATGGTACTAAAATACATATTAAAAATTACTGAAACATAATCTATCACAATTAGGGACAGTAATACAGCATTCTAATTACGACTTTGCTTAAAGAGAAGTGAAAGAGCAGTGTGAACAAGTTACAGTACTTCGGCACTTTGCATTGATATTATCTGGATGGAAAACCTAATTTATCCTCTCCTTTAAGTACTTCATATCACATTAGGAATATTTTAAAAGCAACCCTGCACCAATGAAGTTGTACAGTTAACACTCAGTGTACATCTTAAGAAATCCTGTTAATCCACCAACGTAACCTTTTCCAATTTACTCAAGGTGTACCTTGATATTAGCAACAGATATGAGACAATCAAAAGCAATGAAATGTATAGATACAGCCACGAATTCTGATAATAAATTATGTTATTCATTTCTCTTTTCACATTTCAACATTGCTGATGTCACATATATTTCATATGGGGGCCACCATTTCTTTACTCAGTTCTCCTTACTCCTGCTGGGTCACTCAGAGCCCAATACAGGTAATCTCCCTTCCCATATCTGCACCACATTTTCCATGCCCAGCCTGTTCTACCCTTAAGGTGGAGGCAGGATGCCCCACCACGTGTTGGTGCCTACCTAGCAGACTTCACAGCATCAATCCCAGAAGACAGTAATCTTCAAGTGAAACTTCATCATGTGCATAATGAGAATCCCCGGTTCTGTGCGAATGGACGGGACATGTCAGAAGACAAGTTGTTAGTTCCATAGCATACAGCAGTAAAATAATATGCAACAAAAAGTACTGAAGAGTCAGAATCTGTGGGATACACCAGGACTGCTAATATTTGAGGATTTACCACATACAACACATTTCAGCTTCTTGCTCACAGGCTAGACATCCCAGTAAAAAAGGAAAAATAAAAGTTATCACTGTGCTTAAATAAGCATCATGCCATGAAGACATGTTGGGGAGTGGAGGTATAGCTCCATACATTCTTAGCCTTGACATTAATTGGGGGCTGGCTGGGTACCAGAGTTTGTCTGGATGATGTGGTGAAAAGAAAAATCTTTGTTGTGTGAGGAATCAAACACTGGTGATTCAGCCCACAGCCTGGTCAACATGCTGACTAAGCTATCTGAGCTCTCTGAACAATCCAACAACCAAACCATGGGAAGTGGTGTTTTCTGCACAGTCCATACCTAGACCATATAACAAGGATGAAAGGGACCAGTTAGTCAGTCATGAGTCGGCATTTGAAACTGGTGGGAAGCCATGTGCACAGAAGCACAGGCATCATCACTGTTAGAAGCAGTGACCAATGATGATATAACAGTGAGACAACTTAACATGTGCTACAGTGATTCACCATAGAGTGTGTAGAGCGTTATAATCATTTATAGTTACAAGCATTCAACAAATTCAGTATTCAATCCAAACCCCACAGCTGGTCACTACCACATGTCAGTATATTTTATACACCCTTTGTGCAGGTATAAGTAATTTAAGAGCTGCATATCACTTTTGCAACTTTATATGGACCATGAAACTTGGATAGTGGGGAAGTCTGGTTATGTTAATTTTTCTTTCAGAAATGATTTGATGAGAAAGTAATAGTTCTTAAAATCACAAATAAAGCTTTCATGTGCCTCTATGTATATATGCTTTATCACATTTTGGATCCTTCGCTTCCAGAATTCTACAAAATCTACTAGCCGTAACATTCATGTGATACTGAACACATTTAACACCCAGATGACTCTTTACCTTCAACATCTGCAGTACACTTTTACCACATTTAAAAATCTTTTTAGTAAGTGAAATCTGAGGTTCTTGTGGAGGTGGCGGTGATTATGAAGATCTTTTGGGATATAATTCCATGTGACTTGGCAGATATTTATCAACATTTTGGAGATATCTGATGCCTGTCTTCAAACAGAAGAGTAAGCCATATGAGAAAAAAAAAAAAAAGACAGCGATATACAGAAGGAAGAACAAGGATTGTGGTTAAGAACAAACCAATGGTCTGTTTATCCCCCCCTGCCCCCCAAACATAGTGGCAAGTCTCCCTAAAATGATGGTAAAATATCTACCACACTACAGAATGTCACATCCTAGAAGACAGCAGT